TTCCTAATCAACTGGGATTGTCCGTTTAAAAGTCGTTTGAGAATAGTAGAATTCTTCAAGTAAAAAATCTGGACATAATTTAAATAAATTTTTAGATCTGCTGTCTTAAGATGAAAGAAATAGATATGTATTTGAAGTTTGGCGAAAGCAAAATAAAAAAATTTAATGCTATACATTGTCTATTGTTTGTTATACTAATCACTATGGTATACCTGAGATTGATTAAGATAATCATCCGGGATATCCGTAATTTCTTGGCAACCTCCACCTGATTGATCGTGGACGTAATCTTCGTGCGGCAAATTGGACAAGGACTGTATTGTGGGACTGTTGGAATGGCCCTTTCCATCGCAATACAAGTAACCCACATCTCCGTGTTCTCTTACTATGCCTGATAGTCTGTTCACAAATAAGAGATGCAAAGTAATTTCTGTAGTTGTTAATAAAAAAAATTCATGCTTACCTTCCAGATGGAATCCATGAGTTATCGTCGTTAGCGTTATGTATAATTAATGTGTTGTAAGAACTCGTTGAGACGTCCAGGCTGCTCCTATTTGAACCACTGGTGCGATTGCTCAAATTGTCCTTCAGACTATTCCGATTGGATCCATTAATGCTGTCCTTCAGGCTATTCCGATTCGAACCGTTCAAGCTCTCCTTTAAACTGTTCCTGTTAGATCCGTTTAAGCTGTCTTTCAGACTATTCCTGTTATGTAGATTGCCCTGTATCATGATAAACCATATTAGCTTAGATAAGGAAACAATGCTGAATTGCAAAAGAATGCATTTATGTAAAGCTAAAGACACAATTAAAAAAAAAGACAGTCGAAATAAGGAATAATATAAATTGAAATCTATTAAGCTGTAATTAGGTCTAGAGATCAAGATTGAAATTGGATTGAAATTTAATCAAACAAAAGCAAAGTTCATTAAACTTGAGATTTTCTTTCTTTCGATTGATTAAATTTCGATCTCTAGTTTGATCAAGGCTTTGTACCCTGTTTCTATTATCTATGCTTTTTAATTATGTCTCACCCTGAAAAAAATTCGCTGAAATTATTTCATGTTTTGGAATATTTCAGTAAAATTGCTGAAAATCTGCTGAAATTTTACTGAAAGTAAATTTTTCAGCTTACATAGGGTGCTTTCCAACAAGGACACAGTCAGACTCGTAGTAAGTAGTACAAAAAGCCGAAATTGTAGATTACCAGCTAGAGTTCTGATTGGCTGCTGCTTTTCCGCTTTCCGCTTTTCCATCAAGGTGTGAACGTGTTTTAAGATAGTGTTATACTATGCCACCTGTGTATATTGTTGGAAAACACCCAGTGATGTAATGATGTGTTACACAGGCTGCGTTCCACTTAACGTTTGAAATGCTCGCGAGCATCGTTCATCGTTGTTTAATATTTGATAAATAACAAGAATAAAATGATTCCACGAGCGTTACTCTGAAATTTTTGTTGTAATTTTTCTGAAATGCTGAAATTTCACTGAAAAGTGTTTCAAAACGTGAAATAGTATTATAATTTCAGTGAAATTATTTCAGCAGAGTTATTTGACTAATACTTTTAAAATAGAAAATATTATCCTTAAGTCTTACAATCTTAAGATGTCACAAGTCAATCACAGTCGATTCTTAACCCTACTGAAAAAAATCACGTTACGCAGTTATGTAATGAAATTATGTAATTACGACAAGTAAATCATGTAACAGATTGTTCTAAATCGATACGTGATTTTTTAAAACCGAGCAATCTCCGCTGTTTGACACTTTCAAATCTATATCAGATTAGAGTCAACGTAATTAATTTTAAATGCACGAACTATGATATGATATATAAAATGTATTAAAAAATTCTATAAATAACACATTGTAAAACTCATTACATGTTTCGGCTCTTGAAAACATGTAATGTAATGTATTTTACAATGTGTTATTTATTTATAGAATTTTTTAAATACATTTTATGTAGCATATTTATTTTATACATTTTATATTATTATAGTTCTTGCATTTATAATTAATTATGTTGACTCTTATACGCCCTATATTTTTTTATATCGTCTTTTAAAAAACTAAGAATTTCTGTACTATTTGTTATTTGATTAAATTAGGAAGCGGCCTATTTGGGACGAAGCATTTTTGATTGGTCAATTAGTAAAATTCTTTCTTTCGATTAGTTAATTGAACGCTTTGAAACATTTGTAGCAACAAGTGAATTGCATCCTTTGTGTCAGTATTGTTGATTAGGAAACGACCCCCTCCCCCCACTCTTCGAATTGGCTCCCTTAAGACTGTATTTGGAAATGTACCTGAACGCCCCAGTGTATCATTTTAGACTATGCATTGAAGATTGAGATTGAAGATTGAAATTTGACCAATGAGAACAAAGAAATTTCAGCTCGTATTGTTTTGATTGATCAAATTTTAATATTTCAATCTTCAATCTCAATCTTCTACGTAATCTGATTCCAGCCTTGACGCACGTGAGCATTATTTCATCCTTATTGTTTCCAAATATTAAACAATGAAATGATGCTTGCGAGCGTTGCAAATGTTAATAAGTGGAATGCAGTATCAGGTTTGTTTTTTTATACTTGAATTAGTGTATTTTCTTTAAAGTCTATTGTTTTTCATATGCTTTGGATGCACCTGAATATTTGGTATATTCTCTTTGTGACTGGAAGATCTGGAGGGACTCTGTTGCTGATTTTCTTGACCCTGTGGCTCTTGCCGAGCCGTATGCCTTATGACATATCTCTCTTCGTTGCTCAGATTTTCATTGGACGTAGAAACATCAGTTTCGCTGCCACTTAAACTTTGAGGAAGACCACCTATAGAAAGAACAACTCCTGAGTAGACATCTCCTCAAGATAGACAAAGGTCATCATATGCTACATGTGTTATAGGTGGCTGTAACTTACAACCAATCAATGCAACATTTTATAAAGCTTGTACCTTGCATGGACAATTGTTTTCTTTGTAAATTATTGTTCGAGAACGGCAGGAATCTGTTCCCTTGCTGTAGCGAGCTCATTTTCGCGGAATTCAGCTCATTTACATGGATTATTGTTACGTCTCATCTGAAAGCAAATGAGCATGAGATTGAGGAGATATAGCATGCAAGAGAGCGAGGGATGAAAGATGAAGACATGCAGGAGGAAAACGAGTGGGATACCGGGCGGAAGTTCCATCGAATTCTACTTAGAGGTGGGAAGAGAAGGAGCATCCGAATGGATTCTTCGAGGTTGGTAAATCGCGAATAAACAATGGGGATCATCGTATCGTCATCGGGGTGTAATTGATCTACCAAATCAGTGGCTCACGCGGAATCTCGTTCGCTCTCGGAAATTGAAATGCGAACTGCACCGCGTCTGCGGCGTGTGTCGGGCAATCTGGATTAAGGCATTTGACTTATCTGCAATTTACTCACTCGGTGCGAAATTTGGGAGCGGAGCTGAGTATCCGTGATTATTTTCGATAAATTAGTACACTCCACTTGTCCGTATAGGAGAAATAAAAAAGAGCTATTTGCCACATTCCTCGTCAGATTGCGCTATCGACCGTCTAGAGCTCCAATCGAGTTAAGAATTTAGTCATTTTCGCCATTTTTTTTCATGATGTGATGCTATAGATATGTCATGAATCAAATTAATTTATATTTATACAATTTTTTATTTAAAAAATTAATTTGATTCGATAACTCATATTTACGAATAATAATAAACGATCAATGATAATAAAATATAAATTTTTGATTAGTTTGGAATTGTTTTTGAAAAATATCGTATGAAAATCCTATAGTAAACGTAACATATATTATGTATGATCTACAATGGGCGGTAACAGTATTTGATAAGTAGAGCCTACAATCAGAGTGACTATACGGGTATCACTTGTGATTGGTCCGCCATGTTTTAGCCATTCCTTCCAGTTTTTTAAACACATTATTTTCTAAATTTTAAATTCATGCTAAAAAATGCTCAAAAATTGTGACAAATTAAAAAATGATAATATTGTACATTTTGTAATATTGCACATTACTTTATACAAAACGTTATTTATTGCACATTATTTGCGCTATTAAATGCGCTAGTTTATTATCCATTCTCTGTTCCTATATTTTAGGAGCAAAATGCATCTGTAATAATATAAAAGAAATCAAAAATTCAGAAAAATATTATATATTAAATATCGTAATTATCATATTATTTGATTTAGACAATGCAACGATATATAATTGAAAAGATTACGACAAAAAGAGAAAGAATTAAATTCGTAACCAATGTGATGAGTATACATATACTTAGTGCCAAGACATTACCGTGTCTTCATATAATACCGTGACTTCAGATATTATAATTAATCTGTGTATATTTTATGTTACATTTTTATTTTAATATTTTAAATATATTATTTATAAAGAATAAATTACTTTACCTACATACAGATGAATTTTTTGACGGTGTTCAATTTTTATATTTGCCATTTATACTCTTTAATTCATTCGGCGTTCTATGTCTTTTGGAATTATTTTCATAACATATCCTTTTTTTAATGAATTGTTACAAAATGGTATTGTACATCCAACCATATTTCTAAAATAATTTCGATAATTTTATTTTTATCAATGTACCTTTACGTATCTATATCGTTCAATGCTGTTGCACCTAACCCTAAAACTGACAGTCTGTTGGATAAACCATATATCTGAGACCATATCTCTTTCTCTCGCAGATTTTCGTTAAAATATGGCGTCATCTTTCGTATGGCGCCACTCTGATTATAGGCTCTCTAGTAATCTTCGAGCAATCCGAATGGCAAGAATTAATTCCGAACGATACAGAACTGTAAACTGTCCTTTAAGGTTAGATTATACAATTAAAATGTTTTTATGAAATAAATAAAAAATCCTATTAATTGAAAATATCTTTCACTTTACTTAAAAACTAATAATCTTATATACTTATAAAAATAGACTATATACTTATAAAATGTAGACCAATCAGATAAAAGAGCTCACTGAGCTGTCATTCTGAATGTACCCATTATTTCACTTGAACATTAGTTTCTGCCCAGTTACTTTATGTTTTTTACGCTATTTTGTTGTTACGTCGAAACATGATGGAATCACCATGCGTCGAATTCAATTTCTGGTTTATTTTAGCTTATTCTGTCTGAAAAAATGGGTTTCGATTTTGCAACAGTACAATTATGGAAGTCCGTGCGTCATGTGGAAAGTCCAAACCAGTCGAAACCACCCATGTGGAACAGTACAATTGAGTATAGACTTCATTTTACCTGTGACAGATTTCCTAACCTCAATAGTCATTAACGCTTAATATCGGATCACAGGGCAGAGTGATGCATTTTTTGCCAGATTCTTTTGTTTCATGTAAAAAAATGTGTCGAATAAGCCTAAGAATGGTCTCACAAGACTTTCTGATTTTAACAATTCATTCGATTATCCGCTCATATGTACGCGATGGAAAGGTGCCGGTTCCCCACGAGACATATTTCTCAAGATGCGTAGGTAATCAATTATAAATTTGTTTAGCATTTCTATTAGAGTGTACAACAAATTCTGATCAGCAATTGGTCGCATTTCTCTAATCTTCCGCGAAATACGCCCAATGAATCCCATGAGAATTTTCAGTTTTCCAGTTTTCAGAATGGCGTATTCTAATAAATAAAATATAACGTATTCTAAGTTACGCTTACGCAGGTTATGCTTTATGTGACTGCACCCTAACATTTAAATCAAGGACGTTAAATCCGTATTTACGGCCAGTATTCATAGTCGGATCTTATATTTAAGACTGTCTTAAGATGTCATGAACCAATCAGAGACGTATCTTAAGACATTACTTAGGATGGTCTTAAAATAAGAACGGACTATGAATTCCATCCTATAATTCGTCTATTTCTTATGGCTTTGAAAACCTACTGTAGATCCAGGCTAAAATTCATGGCCCATATTCAGAATGCTCTTTTATCTCTAAAATTCTGCGTAAAATATAATATGTTAGTGCGCTAATATCGTTGTAAAAGCGTTCTGAATATGGGCCTAAGTTTTACGCCTTAAAATCTCATTGTAGACGTCATTTTAAACTGTCTTGAAATGAAAGCGGACTATGAATATCGTCTATAATTCTTTAAAATTTTATATAATGATGTTTCTAATGTTTTAAGGCTTAAATACAATAGGCACAGGCAACAGGGAATAAGCCAAGCTTCAATCAGAACTCTGGTGTGTAAGTTCGATATTATATCCCACCCTATAGTTAAGCTTTTAAATCTGTCTGAATAAACCTTTATTGACGCTAAAAAAAACATAAAATCATAAAATGTATATCATTTTTAATACGAGACACTTGTTAACTTTGAGAGCTTTCCAGCAGAGACGCAAATCGACACAAGAATTATTTCGTCTTTGTTTCTTACTGATTATTGAACAATGATGAGACACAAAATGACTTGTGTCAACTTGTGTCTCTTGCTCCCTTTATTTTCGTTGCTTCTTTTGATACATACTACATGGGCTGAAAAGTCTCGGGATTTTTAATGAAAACAAGCGTTTTTTGTGCAAAGTTATATTTATTCCTCAACATAGTTGCCTTCGAGGGCGATACACTTGGTATAGCGATTTTCCAACATTTCGATGCCCTTTCTGTAGTACGAAATGTCCAAGCCTTCGAAATACGCCTCGGTTTCCGCGATGACTTCCTCATTCGATGTGAATCTCTTTCCTTGGAGCCACCGCTTGAGGTTTGGGAACAGATAATAGTTGCTGGGAGCCAAGTCTGGAGAATACGGTGGGTGAGCAACCAATTCGAATCGTAATTGGTCCAATTTGACTATCGCTTTCAAGGACGTGTGTGACGGTGCGTTATCGTGATGGTACAGAACTTTTTTCTTCGCCATATGGGGCCGTTTTTTTCTTTATTTCGTCGTTCAGTTTGTCCAATAACGCTGCATAATACTCTCCCGTAATTGTTCTTCCCTTCTGCAGGTAATCGATGAAGATTATGCCATGCGCATCCCAAAAAACAGAGACCATAACCTTCCCGGCCGAGCGTTGGTCTTTTGGCCGCTTTGATCGGTTTTCGTGGCTTTTCAGCCACTCTGCAGACTGCCTATTAGACTCAGGCATATGGTAATGGACCCACGTTTCATTCATCGTCACAAAACGTCGAAAAAAGTCCGCTCGATTACGCTGCAACAACGCCAAACCGACCGTTGAATCATCAACGCGCTGCTGTTTTTGGTCGATGGTCAGCAAACGTGGCACTCATCGTGCCGATAGCTTTTTCATCTCCAAAACATCATGCAAAATGTATCCCGCCCGTTCTTTTGAGATGCCCACGGCCTCAGTTAACTCGCGCAACTTCACTTTACGATCACTCAAAACGATTCGATGCACTTGCTTTGCGATTTCCGCATTCGTAGCCTCTTTTGGCCTTCCAGAGTGAGGTGCGTCTTCGATGCTTATATGACCCATTTTAAATTCACTAAACCACCGATAAACTGTTGTTCTCGAAGGAGTAGATGTGGGATAACATTTCTGCAACCATTTTAATGATTGTTCAGAAGTTTTTCCCATCAAAAAACAATGTTTGATCAAGATGCGATATTCCTGTTTTTCCATTTTTTTTACGAAGGCGAAAATAACGCCACTTAAACGACTGTAGCTTGTAAACGAATGAACGAAATTTCATGAAACTTCATACATAAACTAGTGACAGATGAATTTCTCGAAATGAATCATTTTCTAGTGGCACCACCTATTGAAAAATCCCGGGACTTTTCAGCCCATGTAGTATTCTGGGTTCGTTATAAACGCGTTCTGAATACGGTTCTAAAAAGAAAGCTTTATATCAAAGTAGCGCATAGGTCCTCCATTTTTAACTTACCATAATTAACTATACCATATATCAATAGACTTATTTTTTATGACTGAACTTTTGCATCAGTTCATCTTTCTTCCTCTTTTTTTATTCCTGGAGATGTCGCAACAATTGTGCTATCCTTATAGATAATTCTAACACACATCTATCAGAAGACCGACGAAGAATTGAATATTCTCCATGAGTATCCTAGTCTAACTCCTTGGCTTACAGATCTTCTCGAATGTCGTCTTTCGTCCTTGCGACATAGTTCAGCAATAGACGAGTTTGTTGGAGAGTGGGTTTAGTCCGTAGCGTATTGCTACAAAAACCTTTCATGCATTTCCACGATAATGCGTTTATTATAGACTAATACCTGAAAAATGTAATATAATAAAAATCCACAAAGCAATTGTTTTTTATTTAGTGCAATTCGTGAAACTTATAGGGAAAAGAAAACTTATCTGAAGTGCCACAATGTTAGCTTCCTGAAAGCTTGCTGAATAATATTTACGTTTTCTCATCAAGATCCATATATTCTATTGTCATTGTTTTTTCCCACGGAGATATGGAATAAAAATACTAAAGTTACTTATTTAAAACTTTCGAAAATTCAGAGGCTCGATTGTGTATTTTGAAATAAGATGAAAATTACAAAAGTGAGTAATGATTACTAGATACTGACCAAATAAATTATGAATATTCTAATGAGTAGTAAAGCAAGGCGGGTTCTAACTCACGGAGCTAGAGGGGAACGCGGGGCGCGGGGATACCTAACGCGGGGAAAGAGGGGGAAATTGGAATCAACGTTGGCCCACTGAGTTACGTGGAGATCGCCCTTGGAGATCATCGCGGACACAAACTATCGCTGTCTCTCAAAACGTGGAAGAGCCTCTACGAGCAGCGAGGAATGTAAATATTTACAAGCTGTTTCGAAACGAATACAAGGATAATTTTATAAGCGTTGGACCGCTAACCGTCAGTGTTTGCATGCTGAACGATGCTACGCTCGTACGTCTCGATTCTTCATCCGTACGCATTACGATGACCGAAACGACGCTACGCCGTATGTTTGACTTTAACGGGTGTATCGATGATATATAATAACTTTTGAACGATTAGCTCGATTCGTCGATACGGTAGATACCAAGTATACGCGATTCTCCAACATCGCATCTGAGAACATTATACGTGATAGAGACATCTTCAATGGACATCAGCTCGTCGATTGCGAACTATTAACTTTAGTTTTTAATAAGTACGAAAACCGGTGTAATAAGACGTGAATAAAATATTTTTGTTCGCATTATTACATATGTATTGTCTTTTACTTCCCATCCTTTGCCTCGACGCGCCAGGAAAAACTATATTGAAAAAACTGTGTCGTATAAAAGAAACTTGTACTCTATTGATTCTTCCATTCTGTCTTCACTCATAGCACGTTACATGCTCCGTCGCGCGCTCTATCTTTCTCTAACATTTATTATCAAGCTTTTATTACCATGCATTTTTGGAGAAAAAAGTGGCGAAATTTTGACGACAAAAAAATAAGGAACCCTATTATGTAAGACTTCGGACCTTTTCCCCTCTTTCCCCGCGTTAGGTATCCCCGCGCCTACGAGTATTCCCCGCGCCTACGAGTATTCCCCGCGCCCCGCGTTCCCCTCTAGTCCCATGAGTTAGAACCCGCCTTACTACTCTAGTGAATTTATTCATTTTAATATAATTTTCACCTCATTTTAAGATACACAATCGACTCCCAGGTTATTTCATCTTTACGTCAAATTCAGTTGTACACGGACGTAAGATAATAATATAAGTCGTGTCGTTAATCACGCATGGATTATGAGAATTAATGTAGAAAGATAATCACTTCTCAATTTGTAAAAATTTCCGAGAGAACGAATCGAAGTCCTTGGGTGTACATTGTCCACTTTTCAAGGCTGAAGATAATAAATCGATATTTGGTTCATGTAACATGTAGCACGATTAAATAAACCAAACATGAAGGAATACAGATTGAGGAGACCGAACTTACCTGCGTAAGCGTAACCTGCGTAGTCGGATATTGAACTTGGGATCTCAAAGTTATGAGTCTTGTATCTTATCCCGCTACTTAATATAACTATCGATGCACACAATTCTTATTGTCTATATATGTACACTTGACGCAATTATATTATGTTAACTTCTCTTCCATGATTATTTTATTATTCCGACCCATTTTTTATTAATTTGAGCTTTATAAAATAACATTTTTTTTCATATTTATAATAAACATCAAATAAATATTAAACAAATATTTTTTTAATCAATGTTATTTTAAATAAATAAGTAAAAAACAAAAATTTATTAAACGTCATATAAACTTTTAAAAAAGATTTAATAAATATTAAATAAATTTTTCTTTAAATCATTATTTTAAACAAATAATTAATGTTTAAATAAACATTTACTAAATGTTAAATAAACATGAAATAAATGTTTCTTATTATTATATTTTAAATGAATAAATAATGTAAAATAAACGTTTTATAAACTATAAACAAACATTAAAAAAATATTTTTTTAAACCTTTATTTCAAATGAATAAATAATGTAAAATAAACATTTAATTAACATTAAATAAATGTTTAAGAAATGTTTTTTAAACCTTTATTTTAAATAAAAAATTAATTCAAAATAAAAATTAAATAAACATTAAATTAATGAATTTTGAAAACGAATCGTGAAAAATGTAAAATTAATGAGAAAAAAATGTTTGAACAACATTATCTGCTGATTGAGTTGTAGCGATCTAGATTCTTTTCATGATACCCGTATGTTGAGAAGATCAGAGCTTTTCAAGTTGCTGAACAGGAAAGAGAAAACATTTTTCCAAATAATACGTTTTTATTAGGAGATAAAGATTATAATGGAATAGCAAAAAAATGGATTGTCTCTTCTTTTAAAGATAATGATAATCTTACGATTGAATATGAAATAGAATTTGATAGAAAAGTTTCAACAACTTGAGTGATAGTTGAAAGAGCTTTCGGTATTTTAAAAGACCGATTTCGACAATTACAAAAATTACCATTACATGATACTTATTTTATGATTCGAATCATAATAGCATGTTGTGTACTTCATAATATATGCGTAAATAATGGAGATGATTTTTATATTGAAGAAGACAGAACAAAATGAGTTAAAGTGTAACGCAAAGAGATGGAAATGTAGATGCAGGAAACCTGGATCATCGAACATTATTGTTTCGAGAAATGTATCCTTGTAACAATTAATCATGTAATAACTTAAATTTTCTGATTTAGCGTTAATTTAAAATAAATTGTCTTATACTCATAATATATATGTACAATTAAATTTAAATAAAAAGATGTTTTTTATTTTATAATTTTTAGAAATTATTATTTTTATTAATTACCAAAAACTAAAGAATAAACATACTTATTTATTTCGATAAAATAGTTTTCATGTTTACTTAGATATATGTGTATACAGTTTCTATATAATTAAATGTAAAATTTTTTTAATACAAAAAAGAAACAAATTAACAATATTTATTTCAAGTTTATTTTTATTTTATGTAAGTATATATTTATATTTTATTAACTTATTAATGAATCACACTCTTATTTTCCCATCAATATGTATTCTTAAATGAATTACACCTTATCAATGTATTCTGAAATGTTAACAGAGCTTAGTTCTTTTATATTTCATACAAATTTAGAAAAAACAATGACTATTAACAGCAAACATGTAATATCACATAATTTCAGTCTTATAATTTCAGTCTATGTAGAAAAAAAAACATATTTATTATTTCAATTCAGCCGGACATTACATCATATAAAAACAAATTACTTGGAAAATATTAATTTAAGAAATTAAAGTAGTGAACACAACTTTATATTACTTCAATTTATATATGAAACATTCTTTCTTTTTAACAACTTTCAAAAATAAACACAGCATATTAATATCTAATAAACTTTTAGAAATAAACGTAGCATCTAATATTATATGTATCTAATAAATGGTGCATATATGTCTAGTGCACTAATATCTATCTTTTAAAATGCAATAGTTTTATTACATAAAAAAATAAATATATTTAAATTCTTTAAAAAATCAATTACATATAATAAAATTAATAACTTTGAAATTGTTACAACATAGACATAAGTACTTTAAACTTTGAAAATAAAAATTGTTATTTTGATTGAAAGTATTACTTCTGAGTTGAATCATATTTCTTAATAAATCACATTTTTCTTTTTCAACGGATATTTTTTCTCGCTCTATCTCTTGTTGAATTTCAATTCTTCTAACATGATTTTCTTCTTTTGCAAATTTAGCTTTTCTCTTTTTAATTTTTCATCATGATTTCTTCTATCTTCACATTTTTGTTGTAACATTTGTAAATCTAACCATTGTCTTTCTAATTCTAATTTTATACGAGCTACTGTAGAACATATTCCATGTACGCTACGTTTTTTTACTGCATTAATTTTAATATACTCTATATATTTGATTCTTTTTCTACATTAACATTCTCTGTTTCATATACGCTATGTCTTCGTTCATTTTTATATTGTTTTGAATACTATTTAATTCTTTTTCTATATCTTTTTTTAAATTGTTTGTAATATTTTGTTTTTCAGATTGGTTTGAAGAAGTTGCTTTTAATAATGATGAATTGAGAGAATTTTTCTTACAAGCATTACCATTTTTATCACCTAATATTTCTTGTATTCGTTCTTCCAATTCATCAAGAGCCTTCGGTGCTTTTCCGCTTGTACGATATTGTAATCTTTTTTTTTTATTATATGACTTCTTTAAAGCGCTAAATTTCCATCTCATTTGATCAACTGTTAACTGCAAAAATGTATTACGAAGATAAGCAAATAATATAAATACTGTTAAATATGAATATAAAAAACCAATATATAAATATAAAAATATTAATTTACATAATATACTTATACATATGTATACGTATCATTTTTAAACTCACTGCTATTTCAAATAATAATAATATATTGAGATCGTTAGCTATATATTGCCAAAATTTTTTTTTTGTATTATCTACCTCAATATCTCGAGCTTCCTAAGCAGATAAAAGTGTACAAGTAGCTCGCTTAGATTATGAATTTACATTCTTGTGAATCTTGATTTAAATTTGTTTTAACTAGCTCGTTTTCTATTTGTTCTTCATTCGTACAATTTTCTTGTATAAAATTTTTTGTTTGGATAAAAATTTGTTTTTTGTATTGCTCACTTTTGCTAAATTTGTACCGTTTTTCAAAATTATTTTACCATTATTTTTGCAAAAATTGCAGTTCTTTTAGTATAATAGGCTGTAACATATAGGCATAAAAATGAAAATTGATTTAGGAATCTATAATTTATACAAATAAAATTGTATTATAATTATCTTAAGTAATTTTGTTTTTCTTCACATAGATGAGGTTAAGGTTAATGTAATACAAAACAAACAATTTTATTACACTTAACAACTTGCTTTTTCTATTTAAAATAACAATAACTAAATGTTTCACCTTTAGCTCCATGTTGTAAGAATTTCTTTCCGGTTATAAGATCGAAGATTAGAAGCGTTATATCATTAGAAATATAACGCTTCTTACTCTTTTGCAATGTGTGTGTTTTTAAGAATAAATTTTTTTCTATAATTCGACCATGCGCTAAACTCACCCAAACTCACCATTCGAGTAAAGTTAATCAAAGTCGACTTGTGTCATCGACAAAGAGCGATACAAATATAATGGAAAGCAAAATAGTGTGACTAGGAATCACCTTGTGTCGACTTGTGTCATTAAATGGAAAACCAATAGCTGCGAAAACCAATGGTTTCTATACTTAGATTTAGCGAAGAACTAAAGACAAGAACCAATCACATTAAAAAATCACTAAAAACTAACTGATTAATTTTCTCTGCTGAACGTAGCCAATTTACATATGTATATCACGAGATGCGTTCGGGAAGACGCTATTAGCGTTATTTATATTATTTTATCTTTGTTTTACATCTGATAAACAGTGAAGATAGAATAACACAAATAGCGCTAATAGCGTCTCCCCGTACGCATTTACGATGTTATGTGTATTATCGCAACGATAATCGTTTCTTAGCAACAAAAAGTTGATATGAAAAGTTGATCATTATTTAGATTTTCTCGGCTGTGTCAAGCGTTCGTATTAGAATTATTCTCGCAGAAATCGATCGCATCGACGAGTTGTCGACAATTTTTGAAAATTACGTTTAATCGTCCGAGTACAGGCAATCGTACGCATATAACTTTTATTTCTGTGATAAAAACGAGATTCAGAAACATTACAATACTGATTTGTATAAAGAACTCCGCACTAATGAAAAAAAGGTCAAATCGATTGGAAGTGTGATATTTTGTAGATTCCCTGATGAAATGTTTAAAAAAAATGTATATTTAATATAATTTTTAATTGTGTAAATTAAAAAAGAGGATGTACTTCCGAAAAGGTGAACCTTCCAATTTTCTTCTCGATTGGTATACTACTGTATTTTGGTACCCTAATTACGAATATGATCGTGAAAATTACCGACATTTTCAAAGTCAAATATTTACAAAACAATTTTTTTCAAATTTTTTCACGCTTTTTGCATAGAAAATCGTGCGTCCCTTTGCAGGGAGGAGGAGGGAAGGGGGATGAGAGTTGCTTCGCATGGAACGTCGAAACCTACGTACAACAGTATAATTATGAAAGTCGTCCCTTTGTAGAGGGGAAGAAGGCACGAATCAAAATCTAACAGCTCTATTTGTGATAATATAAAATGTAAAAGTTTATATTTAACCGTAAAAATGGCCTTGTTGGCAATTTCCATGATTATATTTGTAACCAGTACACAAAAATACAGTATAGATAAAATTTTTTTAAATATTTGACGTTGAAAATGATTTTGTCGGTAATTTTCATGATTATATTCGTAATTAGGGCATCAAAATACAATATACCAATCGATAAGAAAATCGGGGGGTTCACCTTTTCGGAAAGTACACCCAAAAATAAATAGTTTAATAATAAATAAATAGTAGATAAAGATATTTTTCAGTTCTATTGGATTAAAAATAGTAATTTTTTTAAATGTGCTACAATAAAAATTAACCATTTTTTAATTGGTTTCGCTTAACAAAACTTAATTTGATTAGGATATTTCCAAATCTATTAATTATCCCAGCCATTTTGCTCAAAACCATTATATTTTCAATATTATTAATGCAGAATCTTTTTTCAGAATTTTCTTTTTTCTTTTTGCTTTTGTGTTTTATTTGTTTATTCATTACTTTGTTGAAAGTGATTACTGAAATTCATTAATGAACTAAAACATTTTTATGTTAAATATTTGAAATATATCTCATCAGTGTGTTTGTAACCTACGACTTTCTTTTCAGTGACACGGACCCTGTATTCTTCGATTATACCTTATCGATAAAAGAATATTGAAGTTCTGTGCGAAAACGGAATGGCGATAGCAGCAGCATTCCACATAGAACCAGAATTTCTAGTTGATTATGCAGTCGTAAAGCGAGAAACAATGAGCGAGAGGCCAGAGTTTGTGCTCTTTGATGTTAGAGCTCGTACACATGTTCGACAATTCGGCAGCATGGACAATTTCACCAATATAAGTTAATAATTAATATAGGTGTAAATCTTTCGTTGTGTATATAAATTTTGGAAAGTTTGTACTGTTCATTTCTTAAATGTCACACAGTAATAATGTTGTATAATTATCATAAGAATAATATATAAGTAATTATACATTTGTTTCAGATGATGTTAATGAAATCATAGAAAATACAGAGGAGGAATTCCAAAGAGAATACAGGATACCTAAACCGAGGGAAGACACAAAAATGATAATTTCTTCCTACTGCTTTGAAAGCGGTCAAGCAGCAGTAAGAAGACTGAGAAATGTAGGATACACACAGTACGATATCTTTTAGAATTATTAGTAGAGATTTATTATAATGGACCCTGGTGGAAAAATGTTGCTGAAATTATTTCACGTTTTGGAACATTTTACAACAAAATTTCAGCATTTCAAAAAATTTCGGTTTAATTTCAGCGACTTTTAGCTGAAACATTCGACTTTTAGTCGAAAAATTCATCTTCGACAATATTTCAGAAAAATTTTAGCAAAATTTTCAGGCAAATTTCAGCAAGAATTTCAGAGAAATTTCAGAAAATTTCAGAGAAATTTTGGTTGGATTTCAGGGATTCTTCAGTATGTTCACTTTCAGTGAGGTTTCAGCAAATTTTATCATTAATTTCGCTGAAATGTTCCAAAATGTGGAATAATTTCAGTGAAACTTTTTCACCAAAGAGTTCTGTATTCTGTTTTGCAGGGTATTTTTGTATGGGGAAGGTATCGAAGATTGGAACAGAAATGAAGAGGAGGAGAGCCGAAGATTTAAAATCACATATTCAGACCTATTGATAAACCAAATGGATGAAAATGTTCTGATCATCGACATTAGAGATGTTGAAGAAATAGCAGCTAAAGGCGCAATACCAGGAAGCATTAATATACCATGTAGGAATCTTTCGTTATATTTCTAAATGTTGAAACTTTACTATTATAATAATTTCTCAAATGTCATGCATGGTATAAATATAGTATGAATAATATATGACAATAAATAATTAAATATACATTTGTTTCAGCGGAAAAAGTTAATGAAGCATTCAACCTTTCAGGGATCGATTTTTTTAACATGTATAAGATACCCAAGCCGACTAAAGATACAAAAATCATATTAAGTTGTAGCTCTGGCAACAGATCCAAATGTGCCCAGAAACAGATAAGGAGATTGAAATATCGACAGTACGATAATATCTTTCAGAATCATCTTAGGAATTTATAATAGAGCTCTATATTGTTTTGCAGGGTATTTGATTTTGAAGGAGGTTGGGACGAGTGGAACAAAAAACAACTAGCAGCAAGAAAATAAAAAAAGAATGATAGTGAAACACAAAAATGGAATTAGAATATTTTCACTGCTTTTAACCCAAACACACACACACGCGCGCGCGCGTGTATATATATATATATATATATATATATGTATATATATATATATAGGATGAATCAGAATTGTTGAACCAATTTTCTACCCTATGAGAAAATTATTGACTTCCTAATTGAATTATAACGTGTGCAGTCAATTATTTTCTTATAGGATGAAAAACTGATTCAACGACTCTGATTCACCTTGTATGTACATATAGAGCATTTTTAGATATTCTATTGTTGCAATTAATAAAAGATAAAGTTTTATTTTAATGCAAATTGTTGGAATTTTTTTTTCGATTACTGTTGACAAAACTATTCCACGAAAAATTGAACAAACATATAATTATTCAAATAGACTGATATTTTTATATCCATCATCATCCTACAATTTACAAAAGTTTAGAATTATACAATATGTATATACCCAAAAATCTATGTCAATGTTTTGTAGATGGAGTCTTTAATTCTTCTCCTGTGCCATTTTCTTGTATTAATCATCTCTCTAAACTGTCCCAATATAAGATTTTTCCTCTTCTGTCGTTTCTCTTTGCTGAACATTGCCAAGCCACGCTGCTCGTTGGCAGAATAGATTATAATTTTCCTTTCGGATACGAACCGCTTCCATACAACGATGCCTTTAGAAAAGATAAAGATTAAAATCAAGATTATTTAAATAAAGGTAAAGGATGTTTAACGTAGCTCTGATAAGTAGTAAAAATATCTCGATTTATAAACAATGATAGACTAAGATCAATAATCGAGTCTTTAACAGATGAAATATATAAAGTGCGATATAATACAAAACTTGATTTAATGTCGATGTTAAGAATATAGGATATAGCTTTAAATGTTTCAGAATCACAGATCCCTCTTCAATTAAAAAAATAAAATTATAATATAATGATATGATGTCGATCTACGAGTGGTTGGCGGTATGACTTTGACATTCGCGATGTACTTAGCTTAGGTTTTACTGGATGTGTTGAGCAAATGGAATCATCTCAAAACGTGATTGAATATGTGATGCAGTTAATGGAACTTATGTGAACCCGTGTATCATAGTGTCTCTGAGTCATTACTGCTTTTTTTTAACGTTGAATCATCGTGGTTATGTAAGATTCAATTTGATGATGACATATATGAGATCTAATATTTTTTTTAAATTCAGATACAAAATTTTTGTATAACATCGATACATGTATATAAGAGTATATATATACACATACAGATTCCGATTTTAAAAAACTTACGAGTGAACAGAAACACGTCCACGTCCTCATGCTTGTATAGTTCGATGCGAAGTCTCACAATATATGACCAACAAAGAGGCTCATTCTATTTATTTCGTTTCTATGAAAAGAGTCTAGTAACGTGAAATATGATTTATATAGATTCTCAGTGTCTTGCGAATTCCTTGAGTTTGTTCTTTGATATGTACCATTTCAGATATTTTTCTTTTATTGTGGTTTCTATGTCTAATATTTCTATCCCTTCCCAATCAAAATTATAATTATTCTCTAATATATGTTGTAATATATGATGACTGTGTGTTTAGACGGATCATATCTAATATTGCTTTTAGTGTTCTTTTAGTTGCGTTTTTAATTATCTTTTTGTCTGTCCTACATACGAGGCATCACAATCGTTGCAACTTATTTTATATATTACATTCTGAGTGTAAGTTTTGTTAATTCTATCTTTACTTTGATGAAAGAGTTGAGTTTGTTGATACATCTATATCCTATTGTGTATGAGATTATTGATAAAAGACGTGATGGTATTGGAAACGTTGGGGAAAGGTAAAATGAAAAATTTATTTAGAAAATTCGTATCTGCATTGCTGGTGTTGCTCTTGCTTTGTTCTTTTTTTAAATTTACTTTATTATCAACAATTAAGAATTTGATTCTTTTTTTTATGTTGTTAAAAATGAAATTTAGAGGATAGCCATTGTCTATGAGGATGTTGATAATTAATTCTAAATTCTTTTGGTAAAAGGTAGGATGTGAGAGAAGAATACTTCTGTCCACTAGATCAGAAAATAAGGGAAGAGCAACAGTGATGTTCAAATCTTTTGACAGATGAACAGCTTTTAAAAATAATGCCATCTCTCGCGTTTAGTTTAATGTAATTATCAACAGATCGATATTATAATTCATATTCTCAACAGAAAGAATAAATTCCAAGGCATTCATAAATTCATCTTTCAGAATTTTATTATAATTTTTGTCGAAATTAAATGCCATCACGATTTATGCTGTCAATTGCGAGATCTATTAGTATGTTGGTGAACATGGATACAACATCGAGTGAGATCAAAATGGAATTTTCGATCGATTTTCCTTCTAATAAGTTGTAGATCTCGAAAGTGTTGTTTGCTTGTCTAGGATTTAATATTTTATTCTTATATAATGAGATGGAAAATGAAGCAACAAGATGCAAGGCCGTATTAATCGACACTATGATTCTAAAGGGAATTGAAGGGATTTTTTAAACAGATTCAAGTCTACATTTCTCTATCAGCCATTCGAATTTCTTTTTGTGTATGTGGTAACATCGATATGTTTTGATCCAAGGAATTCTGGCCTTTCAACAGCCTAGATTTAAATCCCTTGGACTACTACGTATGGAGCGTAGTTGAAAGGGTCACAAACAAGTCTCGGCATCCCAATGTGACGTCATTAAGGGTCGCTGTTGAGGCAGCATTCGTCGGCATGGACAGTGCTACATTACAGCATGCGTGCGAACGTTTCAGACCGAGAGGCCGTCATTCAAGCTAATGGGGGATACGTATATTGAATAATTGTGCTCTACAGGGATCCCCCAAGTGCAATGTAAAAGGATTTTTTGTAATATTTAATTTTTCATTAAAAACATTTTGTTTAAAGAAATTGTTCAATTTATCCGGATTTTGATGACGCTTTGCAATAAACTAAATTAAATTAAATTAAATTAAATCATATTCGGATAATCAATGACTATTTTCAGTATGACGTTGAAAATCTATTGTTATTCTATAAAGCAGAAATTAAAGAAATCAAAATTTTCTATATATTTGATATGCATTACCTGCTGCCACCCTCGCTCATTGCCGCCCTCGCCTGCTAGCAGGGCCTTATCGAAATTCTTGGCCAAAGAGAAACCTGAGAGACGTCATAGAGGCCTTTTTCGCGTAATAGACGAAAGCTATTGTACGCTAGCGGCACCAATCATTTTTATAAAATAAAGTGAATTAGCCAGATAAAACCGCATAAAAAAAATCATATGGATTTTCAGGAATGTCTCAGCATTTGAAACAGCAGTTCCGCATTAAACCGGATAGAATTTATTTTCAATACAGATGAACAAGTTTGTACTTGTTGCATTACTACCAAGTTCTATGAGAAGTTCCAATCATTTTCAACATAGTTCTATGAGAAATTCACAATAAGCCGAATAGGGAGCTCTGAATCTATCTATTTCTATGAGAAATTCCGCATCGAATTTTCTATTCAAACTTATCCAGATAGCAATATGTCTGCAGTCTTCTAACAGACTATTAGCAGGTTTGAGCACAAAATAACGACAGTCTGTCATCAATTGCGTCCGCATTAAGCTTGTGTTCTGTTAACATCTCATCCTGTTGATATAGTGTGAAGGCAAATTGTTAACAGAAACTGAACAGATCCTGCCAACATTATCTGACACTTGCAGATTTTGTTACGTTTTTTCTTGCAGTCTGTAAACAATATTATGTACATCTAATTCTGTTGTTATTTTGTTGGCATAGTGTGTAGCAGACATTAAAAAAAATCTGCTTTCTACAGAACTACTTGGTTGGATACCCGTAAAATTAGGATTTGTTTGCATATGATGGTTTTAAAAGAAATTCCCGTTTCAAATATTATTATTTTCCTCATAAAAATTATTGTAATTACTCTTAATTTGAAACAGTGAAAACTCACTGATTTGCAGTTAATAATCACTGATTGTTACAGTTATAAGTATACCATTGCGAATTAGTTAATACTGACTGATGTATCAGTGACATTTGTCTTGCCACTGCACGAATCAATAAATTCTTAAATTGCGGTTAATTTCTGAATCAGTGAAATGAAAGAGGATTAAAACCGATATACCTATATTAAAATCAAAATAAGGATAAATATTTCTTCCTTTATTAGCAATGTAAGTATTCAAATAATGAACATATTATTTAATTGGAAAATAAAAAATGTTAACATCCATTGATGTTACTAGACTCTTAATTTTGTTTGTAATTTTAAAATCAATAAAATTAAAAAAGTTTAAAGATACAGGATAACACAAGTTGAGTACATAAAATTAGTTCAAATAATAAGTCGAATGGTGGAATCGGCTTTATCCGAGACTTCTCTAAGCCATCCGTCCCTTTGAATAAAATGTTTATTTTTTTTTTAGTTCTGCACGATGAATGACTGAATATTCGTGTTTTGTGCGGAGGATATAAAAAATGTTAAAAATGTTATAAATTGCTGTATATCACTTCCTTCCTGAAAACAGAGTTATAAAATTAATAATCTTAACGATAAGATTAATGTTGGGCATACATATTTCGTTATAAAATATAAACATACCGGAACAGTTTGAAGCAGGAAACAAGTATTATTACTAGTAGCGAATTTTGAACAGAAATTTTCTCCTCTTTGTTCTGCTTCCATCGATTTTATTATCTCGTATTTCTTCATATTGCTAAAAATAAAATACAAGACAATGAGATGAAGAATTATGCGTGTTCTCAACTAAAATTAATTTAGAACTCACTTCAAACGATTATTTATCATAAATGAACGTTTATCATAAGTTCTCACTCTCTTTCTTCCTTTTCCTTTTCAGACTCTTTTTCTTTGTAAGGCATTACTGTCTGGCAATAATTCTGCGAATATGATCAATGCTCTCATATGTTCTAAGTAAAAACAACAAATATAAATTTGTATTAATAAATAAAGCAATTAGATATTTTTATAAAAATAAATGATTATGATATTTTACCATTGCTTATAGAGCATACATCACGTCGATGCAACTTAGCATACGATATTATTTTATCAGCTCTAAGACAACAGCTGCACTCAAAAAGATTATATTATAGTTGATTCTATCGTCGTAAAATAGTAATTGCTATCAAAATGTCAATGTTTTCACTCACATGCAAAAAAACCTGGCCACTAAGTTTTTTTCACAAATTTTTAATATATTCAAATAGCAAAATAATTCATCGAAAAATCATTGTAACGAGATGTTTAAAAAAATCTTTTAAAGTTTGAAATCTCTATTTTCGAAATCGGTGATTGATATTTCAATCTGACTGATCTTTTATGGAGCTATACGGACACAAATGGATACCCATCAAATGTGAAAATTTTGTACAAATTTTACAAATATCTATGGCGTGAAATAAAGATCACACAAAAATGCGGTTTACAGCAATCGAAAGTGTGAATCTTTACCTTCAATTTGCTTTTTCATAGACTTCTATACGATTTTTTTTTTTACCGAGTTATTCAACATTGAATAAAAAGAATTTCGTTTCAATGTTAAATAACTCGTAAAAAAAATCGTACAGAGATCTATAAAAAAGCAATTAAATAAAAAACCTATTTAAAATAAAAGATAAGTTATTTTTATATTTTAAATAAAAATTATTCTATATTTTAAATAAATAAATACATTTTCGGACCCTATTTCTTATTTTATATTTCAAATAATTTCTTGTGACCTATTGCTTATTTAATATTTTAAATAAGTTTTTGGAACCTATTTTATATTTTAAATAAGTCGTATCAGTTATTTTACCGAATCCTACTTTTAAAGCATTTCTAAGCCTCATATAACATTTTTTTATTTTTTCTATTGCACTTGTATAATATGTTTCCGCAATTAATTGTCTGTTAAATAATATTAAGTTGTTCAGAAAATTCATTTTAAATTTTGTTAACTCATAATTATATACTGTTATATTGTTACGTCCTACAGATGCCACGATTCTTTTCTTCGGTTCCATGTCGCGACTATGGTTGGTGTCTGCGAGACTCAAGCGCAGACTTCTGATAACGGTCTGACAGAACTGAAAAGAGGGATCGGACAAGTTACGCGAAAACTCGTAAACGCCAATCAACCCGGAAGGAATAATAACCTTAACGCAGGCGCGAAAAGAGACAAGATTGCAAAAAACATTATAAATGCATCGAAGTCACGCAATAATAAAAATCTAAGCTTTGTCATCCCAGACTGACTAACAATTTCATCTTAGGAAAATAGATGTCACGTCGCGCTTAAAAAATAATAAAACGCATGGGATAATTTCCCACGGTAGCGTTATCTAAGATCGCGACTGACAATGGTTGCCCTGCACGCAAAACTAATTGTGCACGGTAACCATCTGTTTACCTAGCCATATTTTCCGCGAGGATAACAGAATTCGTCATCCGTATGGAGCAATCTTGCTTCTTTAAAGAAAAACGTAAATCACTTCTTTTCTTCTCGAAACTCCTCTAACGATGCACTTTAGATTAACAATAGGACATTATAAAAATCGTAAATCTCGCGTGACATTGTAACTTTTGCATCCTAGACAAAGAGCACAGCGCCCTTTTTTCGGAGTATAAATAGAGGTCCCGCGGAAGCGCAGAGCGTCAGTACAAAACTCAAAATCACCGGTTCACGTCAGTGAAGTTCGCGAGTTAAACTATTGTCGCGAGCAGTGCGAAAATCTTATCAGAACCCGCGATAATCACGCCAGTTCGCGGTTTCATACGAGTGCGAAGAAAAAAGATAAATTGTGGGCAAATCGTCACTGCGATTATCAGGCATACGCCACTGCGACTGCTCTTCTGGCGCTCTCTGTGGACAACGGACCTCCTCACATACCAACCGGTAGCTACCCGAGATCTCGTGGACAGCCAGCTAACCAGTAAGTCACCATTCCTTCCGGTTCATCCCCTTGTCTCCCCGCATGGAAACACACACACACACACACACACACACATATACAGTTATACGCGTTTCCGACGAACATACATATATTTTACCCTTCGAATTGTAGTGCGTACTAGTACATCCATTAGAAAATGGGGACGAACTCCTTATGTCCGGAGGAGTAGGCGGAATCCCCTTGGCCAAGTCACAATCGATCGACGATCAATCTCTCGAGGTCTCTTACTCACCAACATTAGAACAGACACAACCTTTAGACCTCACCTCTTCCCCTGTCATCGATCCCGCCATCCGAGAAATCCTAAATTATTCCCTTCCTCCTCTCGAGGGATGATTCTCTCTCCCTCCTTCTCTCGAAGAAGGATTTCCTCTTCCTCCTCTTTTAGATCACCTCCCAACTCCTCCTTCTCAATCGAATCTCGAGCCGATATATACATACGTCATAACGTATTGAATATATGTACAAGGATAAAATTTCTTATTTATATGTAAAAAAAATTTATGTATATTTATTAAATGTACATAATTTGTTTTATGTACACTTTTTTAATATGAATATAAATTTTCTATTGGATGACCTATATAACAAAAAATTCAAACATAAAAACATGATTAAAAACATTTATTTAATGTTAATAAATTTACAGTTGGATACGGCAAAAGAAATATTTTCTGAACTATTAACAAATATATTGTATATATACATATATATATATATATATATAATATATATATATAGTTGTGTAATGAATGTCTCTTGAACTACAAAAATGGTTATATTTATAGTTAAAAGGATACTTTTACAACAACTAAATATTTGTTAAAAAATATTCTTTCCACCATAGTATACGTTTATTAAGATTAAATAAATCTAGTATAGATAAATAAATCTAGTCTTTTCCAGTGTAGTCTTACATATATTGTGACTAAATAAAAAAATAACAAATTGGTTCCAGGAAAGTGCAAAACTTGATCAAGCCTAAAGCTGTTAAACAGATTGATAGATCTGATGAATAAATCTGTATCGGTTAACTGAAGGCTTGTCCAATGATGAATTCACTTGGTTCGGAGTCATTGTCGCTTCTAAGCTACGAGCCCTTAGTGCGAATGCAAGCGAGGTGGCGATGCTCGCATAAAACATTATAACACGAATGGCACACTTGTCTGGCCAATTGGCCATTCCTGTTCCCCGCGGTCCGCACGCCAAGCGATCGGTAGATGTAGTGACATACACTTGGCAATAGTAGGCCGGACGGACGTGTGTATTCGGCTATATTAAAAGATTAATATCTCGTTAACTTGGGAAAATTGCAAAATGGTAAACGATTCATTCGACTCAGTTTAGTCCGTTCTATCTGCGCATTAAATATTTGCTGGTTATTCTGGGACACCCTGTATGCAAAAAGTCAAGCAAGAACAAGTTGACCAGGAAGAAGCCGAGCTAATAGAAAGAAACATAGAGTGACAGTTTGAACAATAGTGATCGGCTGATAAACCTGCTAGCAAAAAAGGACGCAATAAGGAATTTCTCATAGCGGAAGTGCGGAAATGACTCTCTTTGAAATTTTAAATTGCACATTTCCTAAAGAGGTGCTCGTACTAAAGAGAAGCTGTGAAAAAAAATAGCTGACAATATAAAAGGTACAACATTTTTTTAATTGAAGTATAGGAGCATGTCTTACAAATATATTTATCACGATTTTTTTTTATTCTTAGGAGAAATAACTGTACAGAGATAAAAAATGGAAGTTATTATCCGAAATTTTCAGGAAATTTCGTAAAACTCACAAACAGCCGAGTGGTTCTAGCGGCTGCTAAGAAAGGTGCTCAAATAGGTCCACTTCGATAGGCTTAGTTTATTGTATTGATGTTATGTTAATGATAATTGAAGAACAGATATTGTAGAACAGATATTTTTCTCTAACATGTATTTATCTCTTATTTTTTAGATTCATTTCTATTCATTTCGGAATTCCATTCATTAGAAATTAGATAATATACGTTAGAGAAAAATATCTGTCCTACCAACTGTTAGTAATCAATATGTTATAATTTTTCACGCAATTACGTAATATACACTCGCATTATATTGAATTTAATGTATTGATATTGAGTGAGAAATTATAACATTGATGTTATTTTTATTGGTGTTCATAAGAGTTATATTATAAAACATTATTACACGCATCGGTCCTGACCTCACACAGTACAGCTGATTTTAAAGGTTTTCAATCAAAATTCCGGCAGCATCATTCTATTTCTGTCTCAATTCTATTTTCTGTCTCAATTTAGAATCTTGGGTAAATGTTGTGCAACAATATTCTTTTTTATTTAAAATGGTGCAACTGGGAGCATTACACCTAGCAGACATGTTATAATATGCACAAATCTTGATATCTGAAATGTAAAAATTCGTAGTTTTCATATACACACACACATATATATATATATATATATATATATGTACAATAGAGAAAGGTATACAGAGTATCCGATAATTGTATTTGAATAAAAAATTATTGAAGACCAATTTTCGGCAATTTTTAGCAATTAATATCTTGTTAACTATTGCAAAAATAGCAAAATGGTAAAAAACTTTCTGTCTCAGTTTAATCCGCTTTACATATCCACGAACTCTGTCAGAACAACAATTATCAACTCACAATCGGACACCCTGTATACTTCCAAGATTAATTTTTCCAGCTTCGAAAAAAATTTGCTGTGGCTCTCGCGATTTGTTCTCATTAAAGAACTATAGTTTGCATTATTTCTGGAATCTAATCCGGAATTAATGAACCAGAAGAAGAAGAAATGGAAACTGGAAGCCTAGATGAGATTTAGATCAGTAAAAAGAGAATATAAATAAAATAAATATAAAAAAAATTGTCATATAATAGCAAGAAAATTTCTGTATAATTCTCTTACTGTCTCAGATTACTTCTAGGCCATTTCCTTCAAACTCCCATCATTCGTACTACATATGTATAGTCAAAGCTCCCAATTTTCCCACATAGTACGCGGACGTAGTTCGAGTATATAACATTATATGAGTATACAAACATATTTGTAAGTATACAACATTTACAATTATTCAAATTATAAAAATTAAAAAAAAACATTTCCTTTCAAGCGAATATTCTATTGAAGGATGCAAAAGAAAATGGTAGAATCTCTGTGATCTCCACTTTATGCAGATTGTTTCAGCGGAGAAACTGCCAAGATGGAATGTCAGTCAAAGAAGAATAAATGGCGTTTTTATAAGTCACTAAACTTTACGTGACACATTATTAACAAGAGAGTAAGTACAAGCAAAAAACGTGTTTTAATTTCCAGAAAATATGTTAAAAGCATTGCAAAAGTATTTTCTATTCTTCATTATAAAAGTAACAAATTAATAATTATTACAGTTATTTCAGAACTATATCGAACACGTTAGTCTGTAACAATGATAAGAAAAACGAAGAAAAAAAAGAAGAAGAATCTTGACTAGATGATTTTTACTATGTTGGATTTTACGCCCATCATTTTAATATGTATGAATTAAACATGTATACACACACACACACACACACACATCAATATGTATAACCTATTATTTTTAGGAAATAGCAAGAAACGGAAAGAGTAAGCAGAAACTTGAACAAGGATATTATCTTTGCGCAAATAAGCGAGGCATTACACGAGCCGCTGACAGTTTCTTTGCCATCAATTTCGGTAAAACGGCGGATGAAGAAGAAGAGCATTTCGGAATGATTTCCTTATAGCTTCGTGCAATATATTATCGGACTTTATGATTGTCTTATTTGCGATTGCGAATAATCGTATAGATTCATAATAGATATATTGTAGAAATTAAAGAGCATCATTTTAGACTTGTTAAAGATTTGACACATATATGAAAAAGAAAACTTCATATATGTGTTCATGATTCATAATAAAAGAATATATTCATAATAAAATGACAGATTGACTTGCAAAAGAAGCGACAGAAGAAGAATCTGATCTTAGTGTCGAGGTTCCACTGAGAAATTTTAGACAAGAGACTTGGAATATGATATAGGACAGAACTGTGAATGAGGCAAGATTCAAAGGCCAATTTTATTTTGAAAATTTCTATGAGAGAAACAAAAAGAAACCACTGTTTCATAAATTGAACAGGGAGAGATATTTTGTTACTTTGGTCAAACATTCGATTAAATCGAATCATTTCAAGTTACTAAAATGTTTCAAAATATTTCTTACTGGATTCTTATTAGTTCATTGGGACATTTGCCTTACTCGGAGAGCATCCCGTTTCACGTTGCAATATAGCTAATCGTAACGATCGATGCTTATAGAGTTTTAGCAAATAAGCGCCTTGTAACATGTAGTCAATATTCTTGTTAACTTATAAAAGTTAGTTTTTTTCGTTCGTTTTTGTTTTATTTAGGGTATGCAAGGGTAACAATATATATTATTATTGTATTGAAAGCTTAATTTTACACAACTTTTTTGCAATAAAGAAGCTCAGTTTCAATAAAGAAGCTTTTATTTCTTCTCTGGGATGATTTTGGTTCTTCAGTTTGAATACCACAGAAATGGAAAATTTCAATCTTTCGTGATGGATAAAAGAACGAATCACATATTTGTCTTTATCTGAGGGAAACCTTGCGATATCTCAAGAAAATAGTCTCGCGAAATATCTTGAAAATCGCAATGGAATAATGACGAGATCATGCCGAATATGTTCATTCAGCGTCCGTCTTGGGGTCCGCAAAATCCTTAAAATAACGGATGATGATTGTCTGAGAACACAAATGTTCTCGGCTGTTTGTCAATTCCGATTAAAGGCGATATGGTGAGTAAATCTTCCGACATTTTTTAATCTTCATTGTAAAGATCGCGCGACACTAAAAGCGCTGAAAAAAACTCGAGGAAACTTCGACCAAACTCTGATCAGTCGACGATTAATTCAACTAACAAAATTACTTACTGTAAAATTTCTAGAGCTGTATGATTCATTGTATTTAATTATATTTTTTGTATGTTAAATAGCGAAATAATTTTATCTTATATATCATAAGATCCAAAATACTGTATATTATAAATTAATCGGCAATTGTTCTAAATAACTTTCAAGATTATAAAAAATAAATATTGAAGAGATACGAGGAAAAGATTGATTTCGCAATCGCAATGCTGAAAACAGCTTGAAATCACGGCTAAAGGTAAGCTTGAGGTCAGTAAGTTTGAGTTGATCGAGATTGATTAACTTGGAAATGTCACTAATGCGTCTAATAGAAATTAAAGTAAAAACATATGACGTCATTAATCGAGGCTTTGAATTAATTCAAACTCACTGCAGTCGAGAACACTAGTTATAATTTCACTCAATAATACAAATATAATATAACATATGTTACGTAACAATTAAATTATTAATCACAAACTTATAACATACATGTTATATTATTTTTTGGTATCGATTGCATGTGGGCGTTGACTTGACTGACGTCACAAAAATAATTAATAAATAAAAAAATAATTAATTTTCGCATAAATTTGTTTTATTAAACAAGATAAAGAAAAGGAAATGTCACTTACTTTAAGAAAAACAATCCATGTGTTTTACATTTGCATTATAAATATCGCGAATGATAGCTAATAATAAATAAAATCGTTTAATAAGAAATTCAATATTATCGAGCATTGATTACAATCCCGTACAAATCCCGTGTATATTTATAAAAGTGAATTATTAATAAGAAATAATTTCACTTTCAGTCTCTTACAAGAAAAAAAGCCTTTTCAGTTTTCTTATACTTATAAGAATTTTTTTGCTTTCTCATTTTAAGATTCTTAACAAGAATTTAATATTATGTATCTTAGTATGTTGTGTATATTCGAGCCAAAAGTTATTCTCTATTTATTAATTACTTCAATATCATTACTTATATATTTTTATTCAATTATTTCACAAGTACAAAAATTGCAAATAACATTTCACGTGATGTCTGTTCATCGAGTTTACAAGAGGATTGACACGTGTGTTGCTAGAAAGTTAAATCAAAATTCAAGGCCAGTCATGATATGAATGTATATCATAGATTCCTGACCTACCAGAGTGTCTGTATGTGTGTGTGCTGAATGTGTGTATTTGAGAGAAAGAGAGAGATAAAAGATGTTCCAAGTCACACGTGCGTCAGCAATCGTAGAAACGTAAATTATGCCTATCCGCGCTCGCGCGATTATTGAAGTTGTAAAGTGCTGTTAGATTCTACTCCACAAAAGATTTTCGATGAGAAACATAAGTATTTCCAACGCATTTAAGAAAACGTTAATAAAAAAATAATTAATTTCGCAAATAGTTACGGTTCGCAAGCTGATTGCTTACGTTCGTAAAAATAGTAAAAAAATAATAGAATAAACAAAATGACATTGGAAAGAGAAAGTTGTATTCCAAATTGTTATAGAATACAGAAAAAGTTTGTTGAAACTACTGACATGGAAGTATATTAAACGTAAACTCTGCGTAAGTGGCTTCAACAAATAAACTTTTTCTATAATTACAGTTCGAAATACAACTTTTTTCTTTCTAACGTCATTTCATTTATTCTATTATTTTTTTACAATTTTTACATACGTAAGCAATCAGCTATTTTCGAACCGTAAGAATATTTGCGAGATAAATTAATTTTTTTGTTGACTTTATTTTAAATACGTCGTTTCGTTTATTCCATTCTTTTTTTTACTAGGAGCTTAATATAGGAGCAAAAATATGAAGAAAGAGAGAGAGAGAGAGAGAGAGAGAGAGAGAGAGAGAGAGAGAGAGAGAGAAAGAGAGAGAGAAAGAGAGATATCATTTATTTTTTTTGCGTTTTAGAATTAAGTCCTCTCAAATGCTAAGACCATACATTTATGAACAATAATAAACAGTAGAACCATACATTGATAACAGTAAAAATAAAAGAAAACTAAAAATAAAAAAAAAATGAAATTAAAATTAACGCAAAAATATATATTGGGTCATCTAAAAAGTATCCGCGGTTTTTAGATGACCCAATATATAACATACAAATATATTAAATCATAAATACAAAATTATACACTTACTCTAACAAATGTTTATACAGTACACGATCAGTACACGATATACAGTACAAATCATACATTAACTTTTAACAAATAATTATACAACTTGCATTTAAAATCATTCAAAGAAGCAGCATTATGAATATCCCATGGGCTACTATTCCAAAACTCAGCAGCACAGACTGCAGCACAAAGCTGCTAAAAGACTGCTTGAAAAATTTTGTGCGTATGGCGGTAATGACAAATAATCATTAGGAGTTCTCGTACGACACATTGATATATTCTTCTTAAATTCAAAGCTTTGATATATAGCTTTGGGAAAGCTTAATGAAAGTAACGAACACCAGGCATCTCACGAAATACGACCGCCTTTACTTTGAGCCATCTAAAATCATTAAAATAAGGAGAAACATGCTCATCCATTTAACCGGGAACACGTATCTTACATACGAATTAAGAGCCCTCTGAAGTTTAAGATCTCGCCAGTAATATCGATCATAACAGTACAGCAATAATCGAAGATAGGAAAAATAAGAGTAGATATTAGCCTAATACGAAGGGATCTTGGAATAAGCTGTTTATAAATCTTTAGTTGATAAAGAGACATATTCACTCTAGACGTCATTCCAATTACTTGCAAATTCCACGAAAGTGTTCCAGAAATTGCTAGACCAAGATACTTAACAGAATTACTGTATGCGCGTCCCCAACTATAATATGCGGAAGTTCGACGTACGAGATATTGTTGATGTATCTTGCAGTACTCAAAATCATAGCTGTAGTCTTTTTTGTATTTATTGTCAAATTGATTTTCGTGGTCCAGTCCAGAATTCTATTCATATATTCATTTTCACAGCTTATAATAGGAAACAAATTTTTAGGCTCGTGTATAGATAAGCAGGTCATCAGCGTAGAAAGAATATTTACTTTAATTGTAAATAACTAAAGTCATTTAGATACAATACAAATAACACAGAGCCCTGAGGAATACTCCTTGTTATAGTAATTTCAGATGATGTCATTTCAAATGTCACCAGTAACCGGATCCTTGACAGCCTGTCTCTGTCTATTCAAGTAACCACAAATCTAACTCAGAGCTGAACATGAGAATTTCAGATCTTTGAATTTTTCAATCAAAATGCGATGATCGACATTATGAAACGCTTTTGTAAAGTTAAAAAAAACTGATACAGTTAAATTTCTGGAGTCGGCTGCACGTCTGACATCATCCAGGAAAATAAGTGTTGCCAATTGAGTGAAATGACCTTTTCTATATACAAACTGATGTGGATCTTGCAGATTATTACTTTCGAGTGATGTGAGAGAGAAAGAGAGAGAGAGAGAGAGAGATAGAGAGAGAGAGAGAGAGAGAGAGAGAGAGAGAATAAAATAGGGTCATAACATTGTACTACTAACTTATATTTTTAAGTGATAGATTCAAAAACACAATAAAAATATTGCAGTATATAGTTATTTTACACATTTTCTTATGCTTTACAAAATATGGATGTGAATTTAACACTGTATATGTGACAAAATTTATATACTTTCTCATGAAATTATAGTTGAATGCTGCGCCGTAAAACGACGAAAAGCGAGGCAGAGAAGGAAAGTTACAAATGCAAAAGAAGAAAGAACTATTAAGCTTTTCACATAAAATAAATGTAATTGAGTTATATATAATTTTTGTGAATAAATATATTTATTGTGAACAGATATATTTAATATATTTAAATAAATACATGTATGTAAATTGTAAATAAATGTAAAATAGATCCTATGAATTAATTTTTTATTACTAATTTTTTCAATTATAAATAGTATAATATAAAAACATCATAATATCATTGTAAAAGAATTATATGTGATAAAGCAAATTTAAGATTATTTTTTTTTAATATAAATTTTTAAAACAACTTTCAAAAATTTTAATTTTTATCCTATGTTATATGTAAACGTAAATTTAATGTTTGCAATAAAATTGACAGGCAAGAATGTTTACATCACTAAGTGCAAGAAGCCATGTTAATTAAATTATGATTATCTGTGTCACATTAAAGAAAAAGTTAATTATCAAGTTATATCCTATTGGGATATTAAATAACAAGATAGTTGCATAATAATGTTTTTCGGATAATAACAAAATTATTTAATATTTTACATTTTAAAAATTTTCAAAGAGTAAAAAACGGCTTTTTAAGTTGTGATCAAAGACATGTAAAAACAAAATTTTGACGATTTATAATATGTATGAGAGATTATTACTCTCTAATCGCAGAATTCAATAGTCGACAAATTATCAATTCTCATCTGACAAAGACATCGCACGGCAAGATATTAATCTGTTTTTAAACGCGCTTCTAGTTTCTTGAGCATTTTGCGTGCAGGGCAAAATGGCGCCACGGATTTTTGAATTCGCGAGCACACGGTGACCATGATCTGGAAATGAATCGACGTAAGCATTTATATCATTTTGAAAAAAGGGTATCAAAATAAATCTAGAGAAATGTCGTTAACATATATTATTCAAGATATTAACTACATTCTATACAGAGCATATGTGTTATTCATTAGATCGGTGATCCAGTTTCATATAAAAGAAATATTTGTATTAAAAATCTATTCTAAAGTAGATTATGTCGGAAAAGTAAACTACATGTATGAATATTAGCGATTCAAGATTACTGTGTTTTATATTTTTATATTTAGATATTATTTGGATAATTATAAAATTCGTTAAAATTATATATTTTAATTTAATTGTAAAAAATTTATAATCAGTACATAAATCTATTTTTTAAAATATCAAAATTATATTTACAAATAGAGAACGCTAACTTAACCAATATATTGTCATTCTCCAAATTCTCAAAGACAATTTCCATCAATTACCACAATAACATAACTTTACATCGAATACTCATTATTGCGATTGTTACTAAAAGCAATACACGCAGATTATGTCTCGTAATTGTTCCTGTGGCAAACATATAACCTGTGAAAAACATATAATCTGTGTATTGCTTTTAGTAAAAACAAATCTATCATTAGTAACACGATAATTTTAATTACCGTGGGCGTTGGAATTGGATCGCCTGTGTTTGATTTCAACGAAGCAACAGGTTAATTAATCATAATTACGATAAAGTTACCGCCCGTATCTTGTACGAGATAATAATTTAATCGAGTATATCGAGCGAACAAGACGAATTTACTGGCGTTCAATTTACAATATACAAATATCATTAACGCACTTTAAAAAAATATATATCACGGATTTTTCACGAATATTTTCTTATAACAACGATTATCAATTTTAGAATTTATTTTTGTAACATGATATATAGATACTGATAATTTTTATTTTTTTCTGCTTTTTAGTTTAAGTATTTGATGAGAAACAGATAAGAATATTTATCATTTCGATCGAAGAAATTGTACAGGTCTCTTTTCATCCTATAAAAATTTCAAAGTTAAAGTCACAGTCTAATTTCTATATGTAAAAATTCATCTCACTATTCCGTTGCCTTTTTTGACTTGATATGCTAAAGATAGGGAGACCGTTTTAAAAATCTGTTTTTTATTCATTAACACTTTTACGTACCTTAATGTTCGATCAAAACCGGATTCTCTTTTTTGTGAGATATATATATAGACTGCGCAGTCTTTTTTCTTCTTAAGTATGCATAATCTTTCCGCGACATAAGTTTGGAGATTCCGAATGAGATTCCTTCACGGAGATTCACAGGAGTTTTTTCCCGAATATTTTGTTACGCATATAAGAAACACGGTTTAGTTTAAGCTGCTACAAGATAATAATCATGGAAATTTCCCCGATGACAATATTTTGGAGTCAGATTTAACAGATTTGAGTTTGAGTCAGTTTTTTCTTATTTTTTTTTCTTATTCCTTCATTAAATAAAATCTTGAGAATTTTTTTTATAATAGCTACATTTAAAACGTTTATTTTGGAAGCGATTTGGAAGTTTTCTTCGCGCTAATTGAATTATCGTTTTAGATTAGAGAAATAGTCTTATTTCAGCAGACAATTATAAAATGGTTACAAAATTGTTGTGCGTGCGTGCGTGCGGCGTGCGTGCGTATGTAACGAGCAGGCGATTGACCTCGGGAATAATGAAACAAATCAATAAAGAGACGCAATAGAAGTAAAACGCTGCGTAAAAACTGCTATGGTAAAATAAATTATTAAACTATTAACTAACAAAGAGCTTTTAATTACTTGATTGATTCCAACATAACCCGAAAATAGTATATTAAATTATTTAAACTTTCTAAATTTTTTAGGAAATCACTCTAAGACGTGAAAATTTTGTCACTCTTGAAAAAGGTTGACAGAAATTTTCAATTTTTATGAGTGAGGCTTCTCTCTTTATAGTAAATTTCCACTCCAAAAAAATTTAGAGAGCAATTGTTTAGTTAGAAATATATCCTGAAGGAAACATATATTTCTAATTAAAAGAACGGACTTCGATAGTATTCATTTTCGTTATATCGATTGGAATATTTTCGATTGCCGCCTCGCTCTTTCTTGAAGATTAGCGCCAGTTTCCGGCGCCAACCACCGGGCTAAAGTTCAAACGATAAATTTTATCGCTATGCGGATGTTCCGCATTTACTCGCGTAATCGTATGCGTGTTTCTAACATCCACGCGTAATTCGATGGCTAATAAAGGCGCGTTACGAAATAAAAGCAATTTATAACAACTAGGAAATCGAATTAGTGTAGCGGTCGATGAAATTATGAGTTTTTTCATTAATAACCGTGACATTGCAATAGTCCGACATATAATTTTATACGTCATTAGACACAGGAAAAAAAACAAGCTCTTTCTGACAACTTTGCAGTATATTCCCGGGACATATGCATTTTAAGATTAAGGACGAAATCCATAAATATCGTTCAAGCGATGATTTATTCGAAATAATCTTGAGCTAATACTTAAGATGTCATAAATCAAACCAGAGAGCCATATTAGCGTCTTAAGCTATTACTTGAGTATATGATTAAGAACTATGCATCTGGTCTATAAAAGTTTCGCACATTTGATCACGCAATTTATATTAAATATTTAAAAAATGAAACAATACATTTACCTATACACAAATAATAATCCGTGATTATAGCCAAACTCAATAAGATTTAAATCTGCCATTCGCAACATTCTCCGATAACTTAAACTGCTTACGTTTTCAGTATATTGATTGCAACATTTTCAATCTATATAGTTTCTATTTTTCTATCTATGTAGTTACTGTTTTTACAACAGCCTATTTGAAGTAACATGAAAATGGACAAATTCAGAAGCGTGAAGATTTATAAAGCATTTAGTTATGTTCACTCAAAACTATCTTCAACAAAACTGACAACATAGACAAGTGTCAACATAAGTATAGCAATTATTGTGATTCCTTGAAGAATGTTTCGAGAATACATATCGTTATGCAATGAGACATAGTTATAGATAAAAAACACTTAAGTGTTAACCTTTATCGCAATCGTACGATGCTTTTACATCTGAAAACAAGCCGACTCTCCTATGAACAAACATGATTTGCCTCTGGATCGATTATTATTAATAGCACAAATCGTCACGCCTCACGCGATGTACGTGACGTAGTTATAATGTTGCAAAGATTAATATATTATATTATTAATGACAATATTTGAGAGTCATGAATCGTACGTGGAAAGTATATGCAACAGTTTGTGAAATATACTGAGAAAAATGTACTAAGTTTTAATAAATATTTATTTATTTAGTACATTTATAATTAAAGAAATAATTAGATCAAATTAATTATAGTTCTTGTACCAAATAAATGCATCTTTATATATAATATATTTAATAAATATTTAGTTTTTTTTTATATTTAAATTAAAACATTTATACCAATTATGTATATTCAAATAAAAGACTTATTAAAATTTAGTACATTTTCAGTTCACAAGAGAATACACTGAAAATGTACTAAATTTTAATACACACTTTAAATTACCTCAAAAATTTTTTAAGTAAAAACAATTTAAATGAGTAGATAGGTAAAAAAATGAACAAAGGAAAGATTTCAATTTAAATTAATAATTTAGTATATTATCTCACATTTATAATATTCACAATTAACTAATTATTCGATGTCATAAAAACCATTGAACGCTTCCGATTATATTAAGTCTTCATCAGCCAGATGACGAATTTAAATTAAAACGCAATGTTTAAACGTTAGACATGTTCTAAATTGAAATCTGTCCTTTACTCGTTTTTTGACTTATCCACTCATTTAATTATTATGTATACAATACCGAGCGGATTATTTCTTTTCTTTTATTTTATATTTTTTAAGTAAACTCTTAATTACTTTTAAAAATTTTAACTTTGTTAAAAGTAAATTTTCGCAAGGAATGAATCCCTCTGTTTCGAATCTTTGAAACTGCGTGCCTTCAGAACATAGGCAGAGATTTTCTTGGAGAGTATGAAGATTTCTTGTAGCAGTTAAATATTCTCTTGTAATTGTTAAATTTCATACCCGAAAATCAGGGTATTTACACTGAAAGAAAAGGTTGATTGCTACAATTTAGATAATAATAAAATATAACTACTGCAGTTAAAAATGCCA